CGCCAAATTTCACCGAAAGCTGATTCATTTGGTGTGGAAATTGCCCCAAAGCGGAGAAAGATACGATGAGCTGGAATTTAAATATTGCGGGCAGGGTAGTGGTGGTGGTGGCGGTAAACTCTCGTGCGTTCAAGAGAATAGGTTTTGCAACGATGCATTGATTTGCCGTCAATTGAAATTGATCATTGTGGCCGTGATGCAGGTATCTGATCCTGTGTGAGAGAATCGCCTGTTCAAGAGTCATTAAAACGTTACATCGAGGCTCTGGGAGTGGACACAACTTTACAAACGAGAAGCAAAAACGCGAGCCAGAAGAGAACCCGATTCCTGACTTGAACCTCAAAGAAGATGTTTTGACAATAGTTGTGCAAGATCCATCTAAAATTGTTTCTTATAGCTCCATATTTCCCTCGTTATGGTTGGGAGCCTGCTGCTGTTACGTGTGGGGTGGTGGCACTAGGTTCTGAACCTCACAGCACTTGGTTTTGAGTGAAGCAGCAGTCGGGGTGATTGATGTTCCAGCAGTCAACGATTCACTCCACTCACCCACCCATTCACTCACTCACCCTGACACCCAGTCACTAGAGCGATGGATGATCCAGCAGTCACGCATTCACTCACGCACCCACACATTCAGGGCGATTGATGATCCAGTACTCACCAATGCACTCCACTCACCCACCCATTCACTCACTCACCCTGACACCCAGTCACTAGAGCGATGGATGATCCAGCAGTCACGCATTCACTCACGCATCCACACATTCAGGGCGATTGATGATCCAGTACTCACCAATGCACTCCACTCACCCACCCATTCACTCACTCACCCTGACACCCAGTCACTAGAGCGATGGATGATCCAGCAGTCACGCATTCACTCACGCATCCACACATTCAGGGCGATTGATGATCCAGTACTCACCAATGCACTCCACTCACCCACCCATTCACTCACTCACCCTGACACCCAGTCACTAGAGCGATGGATGATCCAGCAGTCACGCATTCACTCACGCACCCACACATTCAGGGCGATTGATGATCCAGTACTCACCAATGCACTCCACTCACCCACCCATTCACTCACTCACCCTGACACCCAGTCACTAGAGCGATGGATGATCCAGCAGTCACGCATTCACTCACGCACCCACACATTCAGGGCGATTGATGATACAGTACTCACCAATGCACTCCACTCACCCACCCATTCACTCACTCACCCTGACACCCAGTCACTAGAGCGATGGATGATCCAGCAGTCACGCATTCACTCACGCACCCACACATTCAGGGCGATTGATGATACAGTACTCACCAATGCACTCCACTCACCCACCCATTCACTCACCCAATGATCAATCATGATCTTTAATTATAATTGAGGAATCCGATGAGCTATAAAGTTATTTTTCTCAGATGTCCAGTAGGGGCGGGTCAGCAAGTTACAACAACAGACAATACAACAACGCGATAGGAGTGCAAAGTACGTGAAAGGTAAACAAATAACTAAAATAAATCCGTGTTTTTCTTACCAGCTGAGGCCCACTGAGCTATTAGCTTCTATTTCAGGAGCGACCTGGCTATCAAAATGATAGCTCAACGAAGTGGCCTCTTGTCATCGTCATCACGTGGACATTTATAGCAGCCAGCAACTCGCTCTGGGGACAGTCAGAGACGGAGAAAGAGACCAAGGGACGGGGTTGGTGGAAAGGCGAAGGTTTAAGGAGAATCTTCTGTCTTTTTTAATCCTTTATATTAAGTTCACTTGCTTGCTTACTTGCACGCTGACGACCGTGCAAATCTTTCGGTCGTTTTTTAACCCACTTCCCGTGATCCAATCGAGCTGACATTTTGCACACAGACTCGTTGTGCGTGACAATTTATTTTCGTGAAAAATGTTTTCCAAAATTTTACACTTTTTAGGAAAAAATAAATTATATTTAATTACCAATTGCTTAATGGTGGCAGGCAATCATCTGACCCATAGGTGGCAGCCATCTCAAGCCAGAGGACGAGAGGACTCTAGCCACCACGCATATAAAGGATTTATAGTGAAAAACTTTGTTTTTACGGGTAATTTTTTTTATAACGCGGATATGAATTGGACACAATTCCAGGAGGCACGGGGGAGGAGGGGGATGCCGAGGGGAGGGGGGGGTGGCATGGGGAGGGAGCTACCTCCTCCCACGACGCTTACTCGAGGTACCGCGTGAGTCGTGCTGCTAAAGCAATGCAGGCGGTGGTGGTGGTGCCGCCTTACCCGGCACCACTCGTGTGAACTTTTAATAATAATTGAAATTGATAAAGCGCCCTTGAACAATGGTTCTCATGGCACTATGCATGGGAAAGGCGGAACATGGTTTGAACAAGAAGCAAGTACAGAAGAATTTACACCATTGGAACCTCCTTTGCAAAATTATAATTGGATTTTTACCCTTTTATCTGGCAACAATACTGACACCTTTTTTTCCCGTGCGCCTTTTGGCGTCATCTGGTCCAACACCATGTGAGACTAGGCTCTAAGAAAAGCTGTCTCGGGTGTGGACCAATCAATTTCAAGGACAGTGCGTACCTTATCAGAGTTGTGTTTTTTGTTTGCATTCCAACCGCAGGTATTGTGGTCAATGCAAACATGACTCCTCGTAAAAAAAGGTGTCAGTTTTGTTGCCAGATAAAAGGGTAAAAATCCAATTATCAAGTAAAAAAGAAGTTGAGACGTTTGAAAAGAACTAAAAGAGAAAGAAAGCCATTTAAGAACGGATGCGTTTTCAGTCGAGATTTACATTTTTTTAAGTGTCCCGGAAGTCCCCTTGACCCCGAAAAGGGGCCAAGGCGTTCCAGAGTTTGTGTCGCAAACTGCGAAGCCGCCGTCACCACAACCCCCTCCAAGTTGTGACTGCGAGGGTCGCGAAGTGGGATCGTGGCAAACACGCCGCTGTCTCCATGGGCGGCAAGCCGACGGGCAGCTCAGCTGCTCCGAGCACAACTCACGCCCGTGTGGTTCTGCAATCCATCTCCTTTTTAAATCCTTTATATTAAGTTCACTTGCTTGCTTGCTTGCGCGCTTACGACCATGCAAATCTTTCGGTCGTTTTTTAACCCACTTCCCGTGATCCAATCGAGCTGACATTTTGCACACAGACTCGTTGTGCGTGACAATTAATTTTCGTGAAATTTTTTTCTCCAAATTTTTACACTTTTTAGGATTTTTTTAAAATATTTAATTACCAATTTCTTAATGGTGGCAGGCAATCATCTGACCCATATGTGGCAGCCATCTCAAGCCAGAGGACGAGAGGACTCTAGCCGCTACGCATATAAAGGATTATAGTGAAAAACTTTGTTTTTACGGGTTAATTTTTTGTTTGTTTCCCCCACTTTGGGTTGACGTCTTAAATTCTGACCAACCCCCCCCACCCACCACCCCCACCTCCACCCCTCTGATCGACGTGACCGCAATGTCTCAGCCGGGCGAGTGCCCCAGCAGCAGCAGCAGGACGACTCGAAACGTGAATTCCATTCAAATCTGAACGTCCTTTACGGGGCGTTATCCGTTGCCACCTCCCCCCCGTCACTGACCCAATTCATTAACGATGTCATTGTGGCCTGGAAGGCGTTAACACAAACTGGGGGGGGGGGTCCGGGGGGGGGGGGGGGTGAGCGTGGGTATGGGGGGAGGGAACACGAGGTGCCTTTTGGAAAGCTCTCTTCTCTCCTCTCTCTCGGGAGCCGATTTGATTTTTGTTCGGCCGTAATTTTGGATTCCCGATAACAAATCTGGTCCGGCAGAGGCAGGAGGCGGCTGATAAGGACCCCGCGTGTCCTCAAGATAACGGGGGGGGGGGGGGGGGGGGGACGCAGCCCCTGGACCGCCCCCCACCATCACGTTTCCTAATCCCCCCACCCCCATCTCTCCCTCCTCTCTCTACACCTTCTCCCCCCATCTCTCTTCCTCCCCTCCTCCTCTTCTCCTCTCTTCTCTTTCCTCTTCCTCCCACCACCTCATCTGCGAACGACCCTCGTCGTCCCGTCGTCCTTCCCCCGCGCCTCCGACGAGCACGGCCGGCTACGTACGGCGCGAAAGAAGTTCGCCGTACATGCTGCATTCTCGTCCCTTGACAGCAGTGAAGATTGCACGGAAATCCACGTGGCGGTCATCCCCAGACCAGCCACGGACAGCGCCGTCTGGTCAATTCCAACGCTGGCTTGGACGTCTCCCTTATGCCACGCAGATTGTCCGGCGGCTATTTGACCATACTTCACCACGGTTGGTCAACGCAGATTGAGGAGCAGGGAGCACGTCGCAAATCCCACTCGCCCGTGCAATTGCACCGCCTGCACACTCGATAGCCAAGTCACCGATCTATGCCCGAACGGAGCCTTGACTCTGGCTCACACCACTACAAACCTTCACCAAACCACACAATCACACCAGCCGGCGGCCACCTCATCACACCCAACACCGTTACAAAGACAAAGATCCCCCGTATAGACTGTAGGGGGGCAAGTGCTGTTAGCGAGCACCTATGAAGGCCGGAACGGTACACCAGGGGGTGGGTTGCCAGCACCACGCCCGACCGCCTTTGTCTCCCCAGTGGCGATGTTTACTACACACCGCACCGGGTTCTCATTTTAGGGGAGGCCCAGGACCGGTTCACAATCGTCACTGGTATTGGCCGTGAGCGGGAGTCGAACGAACCCCAGTCACCGGGTTCACAGCGCAGGGTGCTAACCGCTACACCACCGCTCCTCACATCACACCCAACACCGTTACAAACCCTCAGCGCAAGACGCACCACACACCAACAGGCAGGCAGCCACACCACCCAACTACCCCTACACAACAACCTCCCCCCCCCTCCAGGGCCAAACCACCTCGTGACACCAACGCACAGAGAACCACACCTGATACCACCTCCACCAACCACGCCATCGCACCAGCCACCATTCCCTCGCGAATTTCTGCCCAGCAGTCCACGGACACCACGCGGCGATTTACAAAAGCACGACTTTAATTTGTTTATTCATGGATCACGTTCATTCGCAGGGCACCCACACCCCCTTCCCTGGGGGTAGGGGGGGGGGGGCACGGGACATCGCAAATGCTCGCAAAAGGGACGTACAAAAATACGCGTAAACTTACGTAGGGGGGGGGGAGGGTGCTCGCTGGTCGATCTCCCCTTGCATCCGTGCGTCGGCCACACCACCGCGGGGGGCCTTCCCCCCCCCCCCCCATCATCCGCCGAGAAGGCGACTTGGCACTCGGCGCCAGCCGCGAGCGACTTTGCCCGACCGACCGGACGCACCCCCCGTCCACCCCCCCAACGCTCCGGGCTCGCACCCCTGGCCGCGGGGGGGGGCGGGGGAGGCGGGTGGGTGAACTGGCGGTGGAGTCCCGGGGGGGGGGGGGGGCTTGCGAGCGGTTGGGACGAGGAGGAGCCGGCAAGAGGGTGCCGCCGGCGATCTCCCGAGATGTGGCGGTGAGACTTCGCCTCCCCACCAGAGTCGTTCTCTACCACGCTCTCGAATCCGTACGCTCGCTCGCTTAGGTGAGTGAAGTCAGCTCACTCACACAGGTGAAGTCAGCTGACTCACACAGGTGAGTGAAGTCAGCTCGCTCACACAGGTGAAGTCAGCTGACTCACACAGGTGAGTGAAGTGAGCTCGCTCACACAGGTGAGTGAAGTCAGTTCACTCACACAGGTGAGTGAAGTCAGCTCACTCACACAGGTGAGTGAAGTCAGCTCACTCGCACAGGTGAGTGAAGTCAGCTCACTCACACAGGTGAGTGAAGTCAGCTCACTCACACAGGTGAGTGAAGTCAGCTCACTCACACAGGTGAGTGAAGTCAGCTCACTCGCACAGGTGAGTGAAGTCAGCTCACTCACACAGGTGAGTGAAGTCAGTTCACTCACACAGGTGAGTGAAGTCAGCTCACTCACACAGGTGAAGTCATATCACTCACACAGGTGAGTGAAGTCATATCACTCACACAGGTGAGTGAAGTCAGCTCACTCGCACAGGTGAGTGAAGTCAACTCACTCGCACAGGTGAGTGAAGTCAACTCACTCACACAGGTGAGTGAAGTCAACTCACTCACACAGGTGAGTGAAGTGAGCTCGCTCACACAGGTGAGTGAAGTCAGCTCACTCGCACAGGTGAGTGAAGTCAGCTCACTCACACAGGTGAGTGAAGTCAGTTCACTCACACAGGTGAAGTCAACTCACTCGCACAGGATGAGTGAAGTCAGCTCACTCACACAGGTGTGTCCAGTCAGCTCACAGACACACACACACGGGGGGGGGGCAGGCCCCATTCACTCGGTCGCCAGTCGTTCTATACGACTTGCGACCGAGTGGTCTGACAGAGCACCGGTGCGGTTCTACCCAAACCGGTCCAAACTGGTCCAATCCGGGCCCAACACAGGCCAAGCCGGTGAGCGTACGATTTGACTGGGGGAAGCCAGCCTGGAATTTTGACGAGCTCAGCCCAACCCAATGTGGGATGACCTGAGCTGACCCGACCCGTCCCGACCCGACCCGTTCCGGACCAGCGTGGCTCAGCGACAGGCCCCAGCGGTGGGGAGGGGGGCCCGGTGGTGGAGGGAGGTGGGGGGGGGGGACCCGGTGGTGGAGGGAGGTGGGGGGGGGCCCGGTGGTGGAGGGAGGTGGGGGGGGCGGCCCGGCGAGGTTGTGGCCGTCACATGGCGATGCCGGACGACTGGAGGACGCGTCTCTCCACCTCGCTCAGGTGATCGCGGAACACGGGGAAGCACGGCTGCTGCGAGAAGTGCTGCAGGAACTCGGTGAGGTAGGCCTGTGTGGGACCGACAGCAGCAGCAGCAGCAGCAGCGCAGTTCCGATAACAACGTTAGATCGATGCCAAGATCGAGGTCAAGTTGCCATCATGGCGGCGATGCTGTCACCGCCGCATCGCAGCTGCTGCACGGGAGACGCGCGGCGACCTCCAAGATTCTGAGCTGGCAGCCTCATCCCTCCGTCTGTTCTTAGACTCACACAGAGACCCATACACTAAAGCAGAGACCTATAGACTCATACAGAGACCCATAGACTCACAGATACCCATAGACACACACACAGAGACACATAGACTCACACAGACTCAGAGACTCAGAGACCCATAGACTCACACAGAGACCCACAGACTCACGCAGAGACCCACAGTCTAACATAGAGACTCAGACTCATACAGACACCCACACCCGTACAAAGACCCACAGACTCACACAGAGGCCCATAGACTCAGTCTCCCGTCATCTGCTCTTGGGTTTTCTCCGAATTAGATCGGTGACGAAAATATTCGTGAACGAGATTATTTCTCACTCCTCCGGGATCGGCCGGCGTCAGATGGCCGGTGGCGCGGCTGGAGCTACATGCCCAGCGGTACGGCCGGCGCTTGACTGGTGCCGGCGGTTGCGCCTTTAGCACAACAACTCGGCATGCGGCAAGCGGACGGCCAGGCCGGCCCCCCACCCCCCGCTCGCGAGCCGCCAGGACGTGCGCGCACGAAGCTGGCGCGGCATCTGCGAGGCCCCGCGTGGAGTTTGGGAGGCGGCTGCAGTTGGGCCCGCGCGGGGACAACGCCGCAGTCGCGCGGTTAAGCGGCGCACCCTGGCACCGGCACACGGCACCCACGCAGGCCGGCGGCAGACACTCGGTTCGACGTGAACCATGCACCGCGCACACCAAGCAAAAAGGTCGCCAGCGTAGCCTTTAACAGGCTGTTGGGGCAAGCGCTGTTAGCGAGTGGCATCTATTAGGGGCTCGCATGGCGCACGAGGGGTGGCTGGCCAATGCCACACCTGGCTGCCTTTGTCTGCCCAGTGCTGATGTTTACACACTGCACTCGGTACTGATTTAAGGCTCAGTTAATCTAGGCGAGGTCCAGGACTGGTTTTAATAATCACCACTGCTATTGGTTGTGAGTGGGAACGGGGTTCGTAGTGCGGTGTGCTAACCACTGCGCCACTGATCGCCACGAACGTGTAAACAAGCACGCACACACACACACACACACGAGTATACACGTACCCACACGCACACATGTATACACACGTGCGCACACAAATGTATATACGCACACAAGACACGTGTATACACGCACGTATACACGCACGCACACACACTGTACACACACACGTGTACATACACACGTGTATACAAACGCGTACACACGCACACATGTGCATACACGCTTGCACACACACACACACGTGTATACACACTTGCACACACACACACATGTATACACGCTTGCACACACACACACACACGTGTATACACGCTTGCACACACACACACATGTATACACGCTTGCACACACACACACACGTGTATACACGCTTGCACACACACACACGTGTATACACGCTTGCACACACACACACATGTATACACGCTTGCACACACACACACACACACGTGTATACACGCTTGCACACACACACACGTGTATACACGCTTGCGCACACACATACACGTGTATACACGCTTGCACACACACACACACAGGAGGCGATGTGGTGACACAGCGGGAGCTGTGTTGCAGAGTGCGGGAGGCACAGCGGGAAGCGGCGCCGTTTGCAAAATTAGTCGAGAGCCCCCCCCCCACTCCCCCCCCACATCCTTCTCCTGGATGCCGTCTCCCCTCCATCAACGCAACACGCTCTTTACCCCCCCCCACCACTACCCACCCACCCCCCCCCAAGCCACCCTACGCCCCCCCCGCAAACGCCCCGGGATGCAATCAGCGCTAACGGCCGTCGAGGCCGTTCACGAGCGCAGCGCACATTACGGGCCCCCGACACCGCCATCATCGCCGCCATCATCACCATCAGCGCCATCGTCGCTCTCACTCCCTCCCCGCCCTATCTCACTGCTCGCACATTTGCATATTCTGAAATGCAGCCCAAAGTGTCTCACACCCTCCCCCCCCCGGCGAATCAGAGGCATGAACAGATCCACTCCCTGTCCATCCCTGCACCAACATCCACTCCCTGCCCCTACCTGCACCAACATCCACTCCCTGCAACAGGACATCCACTTCCTCCCCCCACCTGCACCACCCTCCCTCCCTGCACTCCCTGCCACCTTGTCTCCCTGGTGCCCTCCCTCCCTCTCTCAACAAGATCCGCTCTCCCCATCTCACTCCCTGCACAATGAGCTCCTCTCTCGCTGCCTCCTGTCCCCCATGTCTCCTTGGTCCTCCCCACTCACACCCCCCCCCGCCCACTTCCTCCCTCCCCCCCCTTCCCGTGCATCTCACCTGCAGGTCCACCTGGTAGAGTGGATCCATCACCGCGTCCGGGTCCTCCTCCTCGTCGTCTTCGTAGAAATCGTCGTCTGTTGAGAGGGGGGAGGAAGTGGGGTGAGAGGTTAATGGGTGGATGACGATGATGACGACGGCGATGACGATGATGACTATGATCTTGGTGACCTCCCTCGCTCGGCATAGCAGCCTCCGCGATTGGGGCGTCACGATTCGATTAATTAATGAAACCAACCAATCACCTGCATACCGCTTGGCTCATCTGTATATGCATTATTGTTTGTGTTGCTGTGTATATTTGTGTGTATGTGTTTGTGCGTGTGTTTCTTTGTATATACTTGTGTATGCTTGCTTGTGTGTTTGTGTATGCTTGTGTGTATGTGTGTATGCTTGTTTATGTGTGTGTATATATATGTTTGTGTTCGTGCTTGTTTGTATATAGCATGGAGCAAGCGCGCTGTGGTTACATCACCGCCGCTTACTGGCGAACGATGGCGGTTGTATATCTCTGCATGCTTGTTTGTGCGTGTGTGTGTTTGTTTATGTGTGTGTGTGTGTGTTTGTTTATGATGGGAGCGGTCACGCAGTGGTTAGCGCACCGCACTACGAATCCGGTAAACACGAGTTCGATTCCCACTCGTGGCCACTAACGCCAGTGACGATTATCTGAACCGGTCCTAGGCCTCTCCTAAGGTCGACTCAGCCATAAATGAGTACCTGGTGCGGTGTGTAAACATCGCCACTGGGGAGACAAAGGCGGCCAGGCGTGGTGCTGGCCACCCACCCCCTCGTGTGCCGTGCCGGTCTTCATTAGTGCTCGCTAACAGCACTTGCTCCTCCAGTCTGTTAATGCTATATGGGGGATCTTTGTGTGTGATGAGTGTAGTGTGTGCGGTGAGCGTAGTGTGTGTGGCGAGTGTAGTATTGAGTCTTGGTGAGTGTAGTGTGAGTGTCGTACTGGCTCTGTGAGTGGTGAGTGTAGTGGGAGTGGTGAGGGTAGTGTTGAGCCTGTTACAGGCTATACGGGGGATCTTTATATTTGTATATAGCATGGTGCAAGCGCCGTGGTGACGTCACCGCCACTTAGTGGCGAACGCGATTGAATGTCTTTGTATGTGTTTGCGCATGTGTGTGTGTTTGTGCATGTGTGTGTGTGTGTGCATGCGTGACTTTGTTTACGTCTTGTGTGTATATCTGTTCGCTCCACTAATCTCAGCGAACGCGGCTTCATTTGAGAGCTTGTGATACGCAGTTTGTGTGCACACATAGACCAACATCTCCCAAACAACTGACCTTTCAACACCCGATGATTCTGGCCGACTGCCCCCAGCCACAGCTTATCCGCTTCACCATTTACAGTTCACCTCACAACACAAAGCTAGCACCGTTTCAAAATCGTACAACGGACAAACGTGCACCGTTCGTGGCAGGAGGAAGGGAGGGCTGCGAGCTTCCCACTGCATCGTGACAGGTGAGTGACAGGTGAGCGGTAAATGTCAGATAGGGGGCAGATGTCACGTCACCCCGTGTGTCCCGTAGGACACTCGCAATGCAGTGCCCCCCTAACCACTGACCCACCACCCTCCCCCCCTGCCCGTGACAATGGTTTTCAGGAAGGACCTAAAAAGCACAAAGCTATGCACCGAAACAGAATTCACCGTCCATCCGCGTCCGCTCCACGTTTCGGCGAAACGTTGCGCGGTTCGACGCAATTTATATTTCGAGCGGCGTGCGGTGAAATGAGCCGAGGCGGGGAGGGGGGGGGAGCGGTGTGGTGTGGGACGGGACACCTGCAGAATACGATCGGTGCGCACGGGACACTGAGAGACGGCGGAACAAAAGAACAGCAGAGCTAGCCGGAGCGCGCTCTCCATGGCAACGGGGCGGCACTCGGCCCGCCCGCCAGCCCTCACCGCACCGCCCCCGGCACGGCACCGCTGGCCCCGCTCTCAGCCACCGCCATTATCGGGCAACGCGAGCCCAGGCTCGGAGAGACGGCGGCTGTGGAGAGGGAGGGAGGAAGGAGTGGGGGGGGGGGGCGCGCGAGTGATTGAGCGAGGAATTGTGACCCAATTAGCACACCACCACCACCACCACAGAGTGCGCGCGCACCACACGCACGCGTACGCACGTCGAACTTCTTTCGCACCTTACGTGGCCAACCGTGCTAATCGGAGGTGCGGGTGAAGGACAACAAACTGAACACGAAAAGCGGTTCTACAGAAATGAGTTTGTTAATCTGGATGATTTAAAATCGCAAAGCTCCAATGGCTTCTTAATATCGGAACGGAGAGCCGCGTTCCAGACGGCCGCAGAAGCGCATCCAAAAGCGCGCGATGCGGTGACAACCGTCTCTGTTCCATGTGTGTGCGCGTGCACGTACGCGCCGTGCACACACACACATTACGTACATACGCCCTGCGTACACACGTGCGCACGCACGCAAGCACGCACGCACACCCCATGACCCCACACACCCTCGGCCCTCACTCCACATCGACCTCTCCCAATCGCCCCAGGCCGACGCGGCTTTAATCTGACAAATAAATAGGCAGTGCGGAGATGGCTGGGGGTGCTGGGGTGGGGGAGCAGCCGTCACAGCCAGAGAGGGGAGGGGGGGGAGAGGGAATATTGCGAGGAGGGATCAGGATAATTGATCGAGCCCAAGATGATTGGTTTCTGCTCGCCGGGCAGAGGTGTCCGAGGGCGACAGGGAGGGCCGGAGATGGAGAGGAAGATAGAGGGAGGGAGGGAGAGGGAAGCGCATACAGGGAGACAGATACAGGGAGATGGAGAGAGCTAGAGGGAGGGAGGGAAGTAGTTAAGAGTGAGAGGGAAGGAAGGTGAGAGAAGCAGATACAGGGAGACGCAGGGAGAGGGAGACACAGGGAGACACGGGGAGATGGAGACAGGGGGAGAGGGAGTTACTGGAGAGGGAGCGCAGCATGTGTGCGACTAACTTTAAAGAATAATTTTTCCAACTAACCAAGCTACAAACTCGTGCCCGTCACCGCAGGTCGCCCACCCGCACACGTGCCAGCATGAGAGGGGAGGGTGGGCGAGCGACATCCCCCGCCGCGATCCCAACAAGGGAACCCATCGCGCTCGACTTTTAACAATAAATACAGTGGTGAATGTGGCGGCCTCTGGTGGCTGGAGGAGGCCACGTGATCCCGTTAACCGCGTCGCAAACTAACGTGAAATGAAGAGGCAAGCGCGCGCTCCGACACGACGGGGGACGCCGCTCCCACCTCATCAGAATACTTCTCCTGGAGGAATCCGATGAGCTATCAAGCTCTTTTTCACAAGATGAGCGGCGGCGGTGTGGATCCAAGGGAGCGGGGCCGGCGGGAGATGGAGGCAATTGGCTCTCCCGCTTCCCTTCCCGTGAGACCCAGAACATTGTCTTTTTTTATTGATATTTACAAGAGAGAATACACTGCAACGTGTTTTTCGTTGCTATTAATTTAGGGTCCTATTTAAAAACCGTCACCCAGTACCACAGCACCACGCAGAGTACACAAAGAGAAAGATTCCCTGATACTTTTAGGGCCAGTACTGTTAGTGAGCACCTATGAAGGCCGGCACGGCACACGAGGGGGCGTGTGGCCAGGCTGAGTCGACCTAGGGGGGGGGCCCAGGACCGTTTCAGATATTCGTAAATCGGGCCGTGAGCGGGATTCGAACTCGGATCGCCGATTTCGAATCCCGCTACCGCTCCCCACACGCAGAGTGCGCACACAAACGCGCACACGCACCACACACACACCACACACACACGTACGCACCACGCAGACACGTATACACGTACACACACCCCACGTACACACGTGAGCAACGCGCGCGGTGTATGGGAGTACAGCAAGGCGGGTCGCAGACCTCTCCGTCTGCATTGATGATCATTCATCAACGTCGCCGTCGTTTCCGACGGAGACTTCGGACCGCGATCACCCAGCCCAACTCCACAGCCCCCGCAGGGGTGGAGGGCCACTAAGGGAACGGGGCTCGGCAGGATCGCCGAGCGACAAGATGCCTCGTCAACTACACCGGACACTGTCCTCGACGCCTACCGCAAGAGCCCACAGCCACGAGCGGTGATGAAGCGAAGGAGGGTTTAGCCGAGAGGAAGACGACAATCAACAGCAGCAGCAGCCAAGATCAATCCACTGCTGGACGAAGGCTTCCCTTCCAAGCCGCCGCAGCCATTTCAATGTAAACGATCCACCCAGAACTTGCGCGCAGCACGAGAGCCAGAGCGTCATCAGCGCTCCATCTGTGGGCGGCGATGATGATGGTGGTGATGAAGCTTGCGGCCATCCAGGCCTCTCAAAGCACCCAAGGGGGCCTCAGGACAGAGCGAACGGGAATTGGTGCCAAACGTCTCCGCCCGTAGGGTGGGGAACCGGGCGGGGAGCGGGCTGGGACCGGGCAGGAACCAGGCCATGACCAGGTGGGGTCCGGGCAGGGACCAGGCCGGGCCCAGGCGGGGAGCAGGCCGGGAACCCGAGAGAAGACGGAGAGCCCCGAGGGCTCAGCAAAGGCCTTACCCGGATAGATAAATAAATAACTCACGGTAAATGACAGCGCCATTAACTCTACCGCCGCCACCTGCGACGCGGGGAATTTACTAAATCCATTACGAACGCGTTATAATTTGAGCACCCCCCCCTGTTTCATTAGGGCACCTTTCATAAATCAATTGCAATCTGCCAAGCCGCTGCAATAATCGAGCCGCCGTTCTTGTCGAAGAGTTCCATGCGGAAAAAAAGCGACGAGCGCAAGCGAAAGCACGGAGGGCGGCCGCCTGGATCGGAGACGTTTAGAGCCAGCGCCGCGAGAGCGAGAGCCAGGGGAACGAGAGCCAGCGCCGCGACAGCAATCGCCGCGACAGCCGGCGCCGCGGGAGCGAGCTCTGCTTGATATCCTGGGTTCCAGTCCCCGGACTTAAAGCCACCCAACCGCTGTGTTGGCTAAGCCGGGTTATCAAGCGTCTCGGCCAAGTCACCACTGACTTACATAGCGACCCATCGACGACTCACACAGACCCACAGACATACGTAGAGACCCCATAGAC